ACAAATCGGGAAGAAAACAAAACTTACTTTGATCAAATTTACCATAAATATAACAAAATATGTTTGGGTCATTTACACAACCTATTGTTGCCATAGCGACGTATAAGTAATATTGAAAAGAAGAAAAAAAAAACTGATGTGAAAGTGTACGCACAAATATATGTTATCCAGAAATGACGCGTCGTGTGGCCTGTTAATCGTTTATATACTAGCGGTGTGTTTCTCGTGGGTTCTAGAACGATCGATAAAACTGTCACGTCGCGAATGGTCTAGAAAAATCTATAACCAGTGGTTGTCAACATTTGAAACATAACAAAATGTGCCCCGATGTCAATGAAAATGATTCACTTATGTAAAAGTACATATGACGTTTTGTGAAAAATCTGTACGTGATGGAGAAAAATGGATATAATTTTCGGATTTATCGTAGAGGAATTAGTATAGAACAAGTAAAAATTTCAAGACAATAAAACCATCGCAGGCCTGTGTTATTGTTAGATATAATATTCAAGACAATAAAACCATCGCAGGCCTATGTTATTGTTAGATATAATATTCAAGACAATAAAACCATCGCAGGCCTGTGTTATTGTTAGATATAATATTCAAGACAATAAAACCATCGCAGGCCTGTGTTATTGTTAGATATAATATTCAAGACAATAAAACCATTGCAGGCCTGTGTTATTGTTAGATATAATATTCAAGACAATAAAAACATCGCAGGCCTGTGTTATTGTTAGATATAATATTCAAGACAATAAAACCATCGCAGGCCTGTGTTACTGTTAGATATAATATTCAAGACAATAAAACCATTGCAGGCCTGTGTTATTGTTAGATATAATATTCAAGACAATAAAAACATCGCAGGCCTGTGTTATTCACAATAACTAAAATGCTTATTATTATATATTATCATTTTAGGTTGGGCTGCATGAACATTATACTAGACGGTAAAGCTGACCTGGTCAACATTGGACCAGAAGAAATTTACGTAGGAGGAAGGCATTTTAACCTCGTTCCTATAGCTATGGAAGCAACGGCGTATGAAGGTACAGTAAGTCCTAAAATATGGAGAATAATTATTTTGAAATATGTTGACCAACAACAGAAATTTGTTGCCCAGATTTAATTCACGAGTGGTCGAAACGTCGTAGTTTGAAGACGAACAACAATACCGATACTGATTTATTTCTAAATATTTTTCAAACAGTATTGCAATCTAAAAGATTTTCTGATATTTTCTCTACAAAATTCTAGTGAAAAAAAGGTGTTAGAAAACTTAATTTATTTTGTTTCTTCTCACCTCTTTTAGATTTCGGCAATAACACCACTCTTACGTAACCTAGTTTCATGTAAGCTAGTTAACCCTAACAAAAGTGGGTCAAATTCACAATCCTATAAAATTATCTTTAAAAATCCTCGTTATCAGCAAAACTAACCAATCAAATCGTTAGAATGTATTATTCGTTTTATTCCAGATCTGTTATGTTCACTCATAACACTCACGACTTTGTTTTATTTTACATATCACGTGTTTGCTCTAGGCCTAATTTTGAAAATTATAATAATAATATTTACGATGTCCTATAGTGCCCTATAACTACCGTGCTACAGCTGTTGTGAAGAAAGGTTTAGGACTCAGAAATTTAGCGGATCTTCGTCGTAAGAGGTCGTGTCATGGGTCGTTTAATGACGTAGCTGGGTGGCACGTTCCAGTCAGCGCCCTCTTGAGGAGAAGAATACTCACACCCGATTGTAGGAGTGATCTTCACTCCGTGGAAAGTTTCTTCGCGAAGAGCTGCATTGGAGGAAGCTGGTCTCCGGACCCTGTTTTGGAAGAAAGGCTCAGTAGGTTCTTTAATACAAACAAATATTTGGGCAGATGTTACATTCATCTTATTGTATCCTTACGTACTTAAAATTATGACCAATGAGAAGACATTGTTGGTGTTTCGGAATTAAGTAATAACTGTTCATTGTTTATCCTTTAATTTGATAACATTCCTTCAGTTTTATAAATGCAATAATGGGTTTTTCTTTGTCCAAAGGATCACATATATTTAACCAACTTCTAAAAGCACTGTTAAAATAATGGACTACGAGTACTGCAGAATGTTCTTGTAAATAAACAATAATGGTGGTTTTTGTATATGAAATATTTTACGAAATTTAAATTTATTTCAATAAATAAAATTAGTTTACTTCACCAGTAATTGAGCTGTAATATTTTTTTAAATATGACAATTAATAAAAAAAATGTAGCTACTTTCCTACGTAGGAAGTTATTGACTATAATAGTTTCGGCTTTTTATATATAAGATGCTAAGTACGAATGAAACATGTAGATTAATGTAAGTGAATGCAGACGTAAAATGTTGTATAATTATTCATCAATTTAATGTTTTATATATCTGCCACTTTGAAAAAATGTATCGCTTTCAAATTCACAAAATAATAATCTCCTATAAGCATTGTAAACTGTCGTATCCAAAGTTTAAAATGATAGTAGACGTATTTAAAAAACATCAAATCAAATTCATAATATAAGTATTGTTAAAATAATAACGCTGATGAAAATTAGTAAGATGTATTTTATTCAATATTAATGAAGTCCTTTTAGCTCACCAGTTTAGTAACTTAAGTTAATTTCAGTATGTGAATTTAGGTTAGATATATTAGATATTTACGTAACAGATAATATTTTAAATTTTACTTTTAGTTTAAAGAAAATAAATCTGAAATATAACCATATATTTCATCCGCTTGGCGGACGAGTGCTCGACCAATGTAGCAAATCAATAATACTAGATGTTGCTAGGGTTACCATCTTTTAAAATTCTACAGTAAAACCACAATATATTTGAATGAGTCTAGGCCTTAAAGTAAGGCCAATTAAATCTTCTGGCTTTACAATTACACCTTCAGTAACGGTGAATCAAATAAGGCCTTCTAAGTTCTTATATTTATATCGTTGTGTTTAAACTTACGCTTTTTAGTCTACCTCAGTAGATTCTAAGTATAGGCCTTTAACTCGTTGTTTAATCGTTAGGCCTATAGCACATTGTATTATCACTAGACCTATGACATATTGTCATATCACTTTGTGTATTTTGAATACTTTTCACAGAACAGCGCCATCCACAACTTTGCAATGGCTGCGGAAAGGAAACTTCTTGTTCAGATAAAAGATACTCTGGCCACGAGGGTGCGCTTCAATGTCTTGTGAATAGTGTAAATGACATTGCTTTCACAACTGTAGAAGCAACTCAGAAGTTCTTTCAAAATCGAAAAACCTTGGCAAATAAATACGAATATCTGTGTTTAAATACAACCACAGACCAAATATTAAACCCTAAGCCGTGTTACTGGGCTCGGATTCCATCTAATGCTTTCGTAGGAATACCAACATCAGGTAAGAATTGTGTGTTTATATTTCAAAAATTGTCGTACATGAAAATACTGAATCAAGAATCTTATTTTTCTCGGTTTACTCTTTTATAATTTTTATATCATAATGCCAAGTGATCAACAAATGTAATTACAACACGGTTGATGATATATTTTTATTTTCATGAGAAAATCTCCTCGAATCTTATCGGTAAATCTGAAAGCATATTACCCTACAAATCGGGTTTTGATACACACGATGGACATAGTACAGATAGGGTATTGTGTAGCTTTGCGCTTATCAACAAACACGAAAGAAGCAATCTAATGAATAATATAACCTACATTCATGATTATTTGATACCATGTTTGAGAATTCACATCAAATTGGAGCTACAATTACCAGTTTATGTAATATTTTCAATGAAATAAATATAATCTTATCCTTAGTCAAAATTAATATATAAAACTATTAGTCAGTCATTAGATGCAGACCAACCACAGCTGAGCAGATGTTGACGTCATTAGATGTAGACCAACCACAGCTGAGCAGATGTTGACGTCATTAGAATTACTACAATGCAAATTTTGTTCGGAATTATGGTGTTCTCAGTGCAAACTTCCAAACTGTTTATAATTTCATTATGTGCTATAACAATGGCAACACTTCTCCATCCCTCCCTGCACTGTTCGTAACATTTTCTCTTTGCTGTACAGTGTTATCCTGATAGTTGGTCAAAGATGTTTGCTGCTAACTCTTCTGCTTAGCAAACAGTTGAATCCTAAAGCTATTTATCTCAGAAATTGATGGAATTTTGCACTCATGTAGTTGGTCTGCATCTAATGACGTCAACATCTGCTCAGCTGTGGTTGGTCTGCATCTAATGACGTCAACATCTGCTCAGCTGTGGTTGGTCTGCAATCACTGACCCTTTGTAAACACCACGGGTTAGTCATGAAAATGTGGCCAAGTATACAAGGACTAAAGTAATAACACTGACCCTATGTAAACACCACTGGTTAGTCATGAAAATGTGGCCAAGTATACAAGGACTAAAGTAATAACACTACCTACTGGTCAACACCAAGGATTGGACATCAAGATGTGGTCTAGTATACAAGGACTATAGTAATAACACTATCTACTGGTCAACTCCAAGGGTTGGACATCAAGGTGTGGTCAAGTATACAAGGACTATAGTAATAACACTACCTATTGGTCAACTCCAAGGGTTAGACACCAAGGTGTGGTCAAGTATACAAGGACTATAGTAATAACACTACCTATTGGTCAACTCCATGGGTTAGACACCAAGATGTGGTCAAGTATACAAGGACTACAATAATAACACTGCCTATTGGTCAACTCCAAGGGTTGGACGTTAATCAACATAATGAGATATAAATGGATTATAACGCTCCCACGTTGGGTGACAAGATTCAAACTCGCGGTCAGCAGAATCCAAATCGAGCACCCTAACCACCAGGCCTTGCTAGGCCTCGTCTTTATGAGTAGAAAGACGTAGAGTGGAATATGTTTACCCCTAGTTGATCTGATTTATTTTTTCAAAGCACACATGTACACTATGGGCTATCTGTTTTCTGCTCACCGCGGGTATCGAAACCCAATTTTTACCACTCACTTATCGCTGAGCGACCGGCGGGCAGGTTTTTTTTTTTTTGACACAATTAATAAGACTTGCTTAACTTCGTTTGTGATACATATTTCTTGACAAATACATTTAAATTTAAAAAAAAAATATTCGCGTTTTTTCTTTTTTTACGTTTTTAATCATGAACTTTAAAAAAACAATGAAACTAAGTAAAATATATAATCTGAGCTGTAGAGAAAAGGAAAAGAAAAAAAATACAGGGGTGGTGGTGGCGAGTTTTACGTAAATACACAATATATACAGTGGGAGATTTCATATTCAAAAGCCACTGTAATCTCACGCCCACATTAAACGTGGGTGTTATTACCTTGGCCATAGAGGGCGCTACAGTCATCGAGTAGCTGCTATAAAAATAGCGCCCATTGCACGTTTGAAATCGCTGAGGAGAAGCCAACGACCAGTTTTATAAGTTACGTCTTCCAACATTGAACTTCTGAGCGAACACGTTGTTGTTGTAACGAAGGTAAGAATAAACTCTTAGTAACTACAGACAAACAATAGATGTTTGTAATTACTAGAGCGTGAAATTGTAGATAAAAGTTAGAAGAACACTATAGAAATATTTTAAATTACAGATAGCTGTTAGTTCATCGTGAGCCGAGCGTGGCCCAGTGGTTAACGTCCTGTACTGATGCTCCTTGGTTCGAGCCAATTTACCGCAAAAAAAAAAAAGACAAACAAAACAAAAACAAAATGCGCTCCTCATTTTGGGGCCGTGGGTACGTTATAAGAATGACAGTCTTATCCCTCTAGTCTATTTTAGTAGCACACGAGTTGGCGGTAGGTGATGTTGATTAGTTACCTTCTCTCGATAATCGTCGGGTAACTTTGCGCGAAATTAAAGAAAAACTTTTTTTTTTTTTGTTAATATTTTTTCTAACTCAAGTGTCCTATTTATAGATTTCGGAGAGATCAAACCGACGAACAGTTTAATCTCATTAACACGTGGGTCAACGCTAAGTTTACGGACTTACAGCGCTAAAATACTGGGCTCTATTTTCCGCGCCGGACGCACTGCAAATAGTCCACCATGTAACCTTGCGCTAAAAAACAAAAAGGAAACGTGAACATTGAAAACAACATGTTTTATTTCGGTTTCAGTGGCTTCGAACAAAGTTAAAGCACAAGTTTATTAAATCCGAAGTTTATCAGTTTAATTTTCACAATCTATATATGTATATTACTTAAGTTTGTTAATTCCAAGATAATACCCTGCTTTATGGTATTATACACCTTGCTTTATGGTATTATACACCTTGCTTTATGGTATTATACACCCTGCTTTATGGTATTATACACCTTGCTTTATGGTATTATACACCTTGCTTTATAGTATTATACACCCTGCTTTATGGTATTATACACCCTGCCTTTATGGTATTATACACCCTGCTTTATGGTATTATACACCCTGCCTTTAGGGTATTATACACCTTCCTTTATGGTATTATACACCCTGCTTTATGGTATTATACACCTTGCTTTATGGTATTATACACCTTCCTTTATGGTATTATACACCCTGCTTTATGGTATTATACACCTTGCTTTATGGTATTATACACCTTGCTTTATGGTATTATACACCCTGCTTTATGGTATTATACACCTTCCTTTATGGTACTATACACCTTCCTTTATGGTATTATACACCTTCCTTTATGGTATTATACACCTTGCTTTATAGTATTATACACCCTGCTTTATGGTATTATACAT